TACCCTTTCTGGATATTGAAGTTATGTGCTCCAACAGGACACTCATGAGGAGACTATACAGAAAGAATTATTATGAGAGAATAATCCTTAATTTTTAGTCTCACCATAACTACAGACGGAAGATACGAATACTGACGAGTTTGACCATCAGAAGCTTACGATTAACAGAAACTGAGTTCTGGGAAGAGAAGTTGGACAAACTGACACGGATTTGCCTTAGTAACAGGTACTCCAGAGAATTTATATAAAAAAATGTAGAGGTTATAAAGCGCAGATTTTAACTCGGAATTTATGAAAATCCGATAAGGAATCAGGAAGACGACCAAAATTGGATTTACCTGCCCTCATCAGAACTGAGCCCACAATTGCGACCGTTACTAAGGAAATGGAATATCAAGGTCATAACAACAGAAAAGAAAACACTTTTTACTAGTCTGCCGACACAATACGAGAAGACTGACAAACTTGTTTGCTCAGGAGTCCATCGCATCAAATGCAACAACTGTGAGCAGAAGTATATAAATGAAACAGAAAACAATTCGGCATATGAATTAAGGAACATCAAAGACTCTGCAGGAACATGGATACGGAAATATACGAAATTGCGGAAGACATTGCACGAACGGGGCATGAAATCGACCGAAATACTGGCTGTATATGGTGAAAATACGAGAAAATCAAAGATCCGAGAAGCTATCGATATAGTGAGAAAACTAATTAAAAGGAGACTTGAAGAGGGCAGGATCAGCGAAAACTTTGCAAAGAAGACCAGGCAACAGTAGGATCAGCAAAAAGAAGACGCCTGGATCAAGGTAACATCCTTAATTTTAGGAAAAGAAATCGCAAGGGGACTAGAACAATCATAAGTCAAAGGGAGACGTCTTCAGTGGACCTAATCAAAACAAGTAGAACCACAACACTTGTGGGTTGGCACACAAGAGACTCGGACATAGGAAGTGAGAGCCATAATATTATGGATAGAAACAGGATAGACGCGATGGAGTTAAAGCTAAAATTGGACGTGTTTGATAATAGACGTGATCCATGAAGCAAGTCTATTTTTAATTAACTAGCTTTAGCCTCCACCACATCTATCCTGTTTCTATCCCGAATATCAAATCGATGACTTGCTATACCCTAGTCTCTTGTGTGCCGACCCACAATTGTTGTGGTTCAACATTGAACATAATCAAAGCAAACAGTACCACAAATTTTGTGGGTTGGCATACAATAGACTTGCTATTTGGGATAGAAACAGGATAGACGTGGCGGAGGCTGGAGCTAGTTGGTTTACAGTAGGCCTGTTTTACTGGCGTGGTCCATGTAGCAAATACTTGAGCATGAGACTTACTCAAAGGCCTTTGTCTCAAATTAGCCACCCAGACTAAGGGAAGGGGTAATAACACCTCGAGTGGGACAAATCGGGTGGCAGGAGTCGAGTGAAATACGTGGGCCAGGGAGATAGCAGACGGATCCTACAAAGCAAGTGTAGAGATTCTGATAAGACCTAGGGAAGGAGGGATGTGTAACAATATGGCCGACTCTGATCTTAATTCCCACAAGGGTAAAGGGGGGCGAGAATGCCAGCGTTGAGTGTAGAGGGTTCTCTTGAAAGCCGCTCAAAATGACACATTACACTAGATTTAAAGGAGCAAGGAAAAATTGTTATAGTGAAGGCGTGATACGAGTATATAGGATAGGTGGATAGCCCATAACAGATGGAGAGATACCACGATTCTTTAGCACACGTTTGGTCAAAGGATCGTCTTCACTTCTCTCTTTGACTATTTGTGGTGTGGTGCTAGGACTGGTAAGACTCACTGACGATGCCAACTACGATGCCTGCGAAACGTCTGGCAATGTACTACGTCCACTGTCCGACTTTGTAAATGATTATGCATACAATGGACTCCGGACTAGATGTGTTCCTCCAAGTCTTCCTACCAATATGGCCAATTTGCGAAACCAAAGTCAAATAACTTCGATATTTCTTGTGTTATTCTGTCAGTTAGTGTTTCTTACCTGCCAGTATTCTAGCTTTATTTTCATCATGATATTTCTTCAGAGTGATAGACAATTTCTATCACAGATTGACTAAAGTTGGAGGATGGCATCTCGAAGATTATCATAATGCATTTTCTAAAAATGTTTGGTAGACTGAAGCTTCGGCTTTGGTTAAACTGATCACTTGTTTAAATTTAGGAAAAATAATAATTTTCACGGGCATTAGCTTCTTTCAGATATTATTTATGGCGATGCAATGAACGTCTGCTTCTTCCAAGCGCCACCAAATAGGAATTTGTTTCTTTTAAGGCTCCCTGCATATTTAAGGCAATATAATTAGGAGAATTGATCTATATGAAGATCGACTAACTAATTTGGTAATGCGAAAATTGATTGATTCCTTTTTTAACTTAGCTTTTTTTTACTTATCAAATTCTCTTAATACAGTTTGCTGTTTGTCGACTAATTGTTATCTGGACTACGTCGCGCATTGTATTATATTTTATTAAATTATCATATTTTGCAATACTATTGCCCAGAATCCATCTTTCTAATCCACGCACTTTTCCTTATTGCCAATGTCAGGAGCGAGTTACAGAAATAAACCATACTATTATTCTACTATGATAAGTAAAGATGCTTTTTAGTTGGAATATACAGGATGCCTTAGAGGGCTTACTTAATGAAGATCTTTATTGAAACTATGTAGTTCAGAGAAACCATACAAATAATAAAATATTCAAACATGGATTACATTATTTGCGATAATTTCCCAGCTATCGGTTGTTTTAAAGGGGCTAACTCTATGCGATTACAACATGACTTTTTCTCTTGACCCCCTCTCATTTATATATCTAGATTTAGAGTTACTCTTGCGTGGTTTCTGCCGCCTCCTCATCACTTACTCTAGCTGGCCTGAATCAGGATCATCCATTGTTTCTTCAAACGGTTTTGGGAGCAGCATCATCTCTTCCAATGGATCTCGTCGCCAAGGGCTTTCTGCCTCTGCTGGGCATAGCAGTATAGGTGATGATGATGAAGATGATTTAAGAAGTGGTGCTTGGATAGGCAGAGGAAGAGGGGGAATGAGCCGCCCTGTGACTTCCGGCCCTTCTGCCGAGTTGCGTGAAACTGTGCTGCGATGCCTGACAGGAGTGTCTGGCCATCGCACCAGTCTCCGATTCGGACTGGAAGCCATCTCGGAATCGATGGCCCATCGCCTATTGCACCTTCTGTTAGACCAATCGACGCATCGAGATTGGACTTACGTTACCATGTCCCTGCTTAACTGGTGGAGAGTTAGTTTCTTAATTTATCCTCGCAGCATTTTCTTTCCTCCTCTAACTATATCATTAATTCATTTTCTTCAGTATTTTAGCCTTATGAACTTGTTAAAATTTGGAAAGCTTTTCAGAGCATTTAGCTACTAATTTTACATCTTCAATTTTTGGATGTATAAGGCCAATTTAAACGTACTTTGTCG